AAGAGAATTTAGCTATTTCAACAAATCTACTTAGATAAAACTCTCTCATCTACCAAAACTGATTTTTGCATAAAACATGAACCAAGCATTATTATTTTTGTCTCAAAGTAATGTATTCATATTTAGTGAGGGGGAAATATAAAAATCTGTCTTTTCCAGCTATTTGACTGACAGGCTTCTGCTGTGCTTTTAAGAAATTTTCTAACATTCGTGTTTGATAAACTATGGTGGATGCGTGTGTATACACACACACACACACACACACACACACACATATATATATATACACATGGCTTTCTCTATGTGCAGATTTTCTGCATATAGAAGTACTTTAAAATCAGACAATTGAACTGCTAAAATAATGATGGTTAAGTAATCCTGATGCATCCCTAATTCCTATCACTGTCCAGGGAATTCAATGAAGAATTGTTACAAGAGGTGTAGAACATATAAGACTTCAGTCTTGAATTGATTATTGTCAAAATAATTAGACCTTCTGCATCCCATTGGTGGCTTTTTCCTCATGGCTTTGTGGTTTTTGTTCAAGTTGGCAAGGAGAGTCCAACACTGGGCCATAAATTAACTACAAATACCAAAATATCATTGATGACACTGGGGGAACACAAAGAAGACGGAGGCAATTTTTATACTGATTCTTTTAGTACCCCAATAATGTTTTCCTTAACACTCTAGATCCATATGTAATGGTGACAACCTTACCTTTAAGAATAGCAGCAAAAGACATTCTACCCTCAAACCTATAGGAAAAAAAACGTTAGCGCTAATGCATTAAAGAATCAGGAGATGGATGAAAGACGTCCTATTTTTATGTGATAGAAAAATGATTTTTAATCCTAGTACTGGGATCAACACTGGAAATACTTTCCTGGGATATGCTACTGATCCAGAATAAGCAAAAAATGTTTTGCAAGGGATTGTGGCAGGGGAGCAACATGTCTCATGTGAGAGAACAGCAGCAACATTAAAGGTCCAGGGAGAAACTACACTGTGAGCATGAACAGGTAAAAAGTTGCCTAAAACGTGTAAATTCAGTGCTCTCCCTACATTACCAGGATAGTTCACTAGTTTTAAATCGAGATCTCAGCAGCTGGTATACATAGGTCTAAATATTTCAAGAAATCAGACTTGGGTTAATTTCACAGTTTTAGTCAGCAGAAAAAGAGGCTCTTGTACTCTTAAAACCTATTATTTTCATCTGGGTTGTAATAAGTGAAATGCACATAAAATTCCCAAGTCCCACGCTCAGAGATTAAGCTGATTGACCAGAGTATAGTCTCTAGATAATAAAGATAACTTCAATTCAGGTAAATGTTCAGACTCTATAAATAAAGGTGACAGGAAGGGGAGAGCACAGTCTCCCTAGACATCAGGACCTGTCAAAGTATGGAAAATGTGACAGTCAGTTTTATGCAGTCTGTTTTTTCCCACCATCTTGCTGAATGAAATGATGCCCACGTTTTTCTGCAGGGTCTTTCTAGAGCAGCAAGCCCATCTTGCCTTGATGCCTGCTGGCTGATGATTGCTGCACCTGCGTTTCCTTACATTAGTCACAGGTTGCCTGGCAGTGGTCTAATGGCATCCAGTTGAGAAGAAATAGTTTAGGGACTCATTTTCTGTCCCAGGAATAAACTGGGATTATTGAACTATGATTTTTTTTCCCCCAAGGTGATCACTTTCTTCACGGGCAGCAAGAGAAAAGATGAAAAAATCTAAACTAGATTAAGGGATTTCCTCTTATTCCCAGCTCTTATTTTCATTTGTTCTTGTTGTTTCCCCTCCTGCAGTGCTGTGGAACTGCATCTATGCTTTACCTTGCTGTTAACCTTTGAAAGAGAAACAGAGGAATATGACTCCCTTCTCTTTCTCTGAGGGGAGACTGGAAATGCAAGGTTATAGAAATTAGAGGGAAATTAGGATGTTAAGGGATATTGCTTAGAGAGCAGTTTGCTATGTAGGTAATGGGCACAGAGGATGCACAGCTCTGGGGTGAGTATGAACACATTTTGTGGTGTGCCAGATTGGCACTCATATTCCATCTCAATCCCTCTGTAAAAACCAGTATGCTGGGTGAAGAGCTGCTTGAAAGGAGACAGCAGGAAAATGTGTTTAAGGAAGTATATCTATTTGTCTTTCTTCTAAAGTGTGGAAAATGAGGGAAGATGCTGGCCTTTGTTGCCTGTACAAAGAATTTGAATATTTTTGTCAGGCTGTATAAGATGTCAATTTGGTTTTCTCTCCTGTCTGAGAAAGCTGAAAACTACCTGTCTTGCTGAGAATGACACTTTTCAGTTCTTTCAGGGCTCTGGTTGTGTTGTTTTTTATTACAGAGGTGCTTCCAATAAGAAGAGATCCATGAGACCAAATAGAACAAAGGGAGGAGGCACCCTATGCCCTAATAGTTAAGATATTTCTCTGGAAGTGTTGGTATTTAGTTCCCTTAAAAGATTAACTAATTTATCTTATGATTCACCATATCATAAAATGCAAGCTTGTAATTTCATGATGGTGCAAGTAACCAAGGCAGAGATGAGTGTGGACATGATTTTTGAACCTGAGAGAATTTCAAGCTCTCAGGGGCTGATTGTTCCTAAGGGAAAGTCTTTTGAGAACTTTTCCTCTCTCAAGGACTGTTTGTGTAAATAAGGTTTTATTTTCCCAGAACAAGACACAGATATTCTGAGTGTTTTCTCTCTTGTTCCACCAATGGGATGAGGGAGGTGTTCCTTCTGCCAGTCAGGATGACATGTATCAGAACACCTTATAAAAGGGTGGTAAAACCCTGAAATAAAGCCTTTTCTGCCTCATGAAAAAACCTGTGGTTGCTTGTGATTCTCAGAGCCTTCACTCTATACGTTGTGTCCTCTAGCAACAGATGAAGAGGATTCTTCCTTTATCCCAAGCTGTAATTTTGGTGGAATAAATTTGTTCTCTACTGAGGTCTTGCTTTACAGCCATAAAACCTGTTCTGAGATTGGTTCCAGATAATTTTTCTAGTCCAAAATGTGATGCCTTTGACAAAAAACTTGTATTTGTATCAAGTTTTACACATAAAAATTTAAACTTGTATTCTCAGTCTTTTTGAAAGGGGAGAATACTTCTCTTCCATTCCTGGAGGGAATGCAGTCTTGGATGCTGAGATCTGCATGAACTTTTCTGCACACAGCTGAACTTGGCTTGTATGAAGACAGTACCCATCTGTTGGGGGAAAGGAAAGGATCCCTTACTTATCCTGCTGTCAAATAGTTAAACACAAGTCAGCAAAGGTAATCTGTAGTCATCACCTGTGGAAAAAGTGACCACTGAAATTGCTTCCATAACATGGTTTCCAAAATATTCTTGGCTACCTAGTTTTAATGTAGTTCAGTATGACTACATGTCAGCAGTCCTTGTACACATTAGCTTGCAGAGATGTGGGACTTGTGTTCCTAGATCACTCCTGTGCCTGCAGGAACTTTGTCCTGTGCATTCTTTTTCTGCCACCTAAACTTACGTTTTGTTTTATGAAAGACAATAGTTGGTCACTCCCTTAAAATATTAATTTCATTACTCCTTTTTCTCCTCTTTTAATGTCACAAAATTCCACCCAGGCTAATTTGCACTGGTCCCTGCAAAAGCAAATTGTTAGCTATACTCTCTAATAGACCATACAAAAAATCAGAGGCCAGGCTCTTCCTGATTTAAGGAATTTCTAGAGGAGTCTGAGAGGTTTGTCATATTGTTCTGTGGGGCAGGATTAGGTCCCAGCTGTTGTTGGATTTAAGATTTCCAGCCTTCCAAGGTGATCTAATGAAAAAGCAGTGAATAAAGAGTTTTACAATGCAGGATGAGTCTATAATCTTAAGAGCGGTCTATTAAAGAAAATTATTCTGAATGCACGTATCAGGGTGGAGCACCACAAATTATGACATTCCACTCTGGAAATAAATAGTAAAACAATAGAGAACTGAAAAAATTTTACTGTCTCATAATGCTTGGCATTTTTAATCTACCTTCCCACCTCCATTAGATAAAGCAATTAAAAAGTGGGCCATGGAACTGTTCAGATATAGAAAATTAAACAGAGCTTTAAAGGTGTCTCCGTAAGTGTCCATGAACAGTCTTATCTAACTAAAAGAAAATAAAACTGAAGGTGGGCATTTGGTATTTGGCTGCAGAACAGGCTGAAGGTTTCTAGGGGGTGCCACACTCCTGGGACCAAGCAGTTTAATTTCTGTGCACTTCCCCTGCACATTTAACCCTTTGTCTGCTATGTTGCCAAGCATTTCCCACAAAACTGCAGTACAGGTTCTCAGCTCTCTTGTTCTGTATCCTGATCAGCACAGACAAAGGCTGATGGGGCTTCAGGGCACTGACAAAAACTCCTGGCTTTAATCAGCAGACTCATGGCTGTAGCTACTGAACTGCTGCTAATTCTTTGCTGTATTCACTCAAAGAGAAAAGGACTTGTCTGAGTCACTATTGCTACTTTTTTTGTAGTTGAAATGAAACCCCTGTGTTCTCCATCTTCTTTTGTTCTGCCCAGCTCCTTTCATGCTGGGCTGTGGGTCTGAAGAGTGTTTGGACTGCAAAGCATGTTTGCGTTCACAAGTGCTGCAGACAAATCTTTCATCCTTCATGTAGTGGTGTCGGGCTCATTGTGCATGTTCCAGCACTGGACATCAGAGACCCCGAGTTTCTTTGTTGGAGTCACCTGTATCTTAATTTTTCTGACTGACCAACATATGCCCAAGGCCTTTCTCTGAGCTGTGTTTACAGCTACTTTGGCCTTTTGTCCCACCTTTCAGAGATCTACTCCACACTTACAAGGCTATTGATAGATTTTATTGATCCCAAGCTTATTTCCTGTCTCCACCAGTTCCTTTTTCTAATGGTCAGACTGTGGCTGATGCAAGTGCACCCTCCCCCAGGTCGAAATTAATTGGACTGATTTAAAATCCTAACAGGTGGCTTTAAACAATTGCCTGAAACAGGTGGGAAGTGTTGAGGTGCCTGACCTGCCAGCCAGGTCTGAGGGAGCAGGGACTCCTTCTGCCCAGCACAAGTGGGATACCTCTTAGCCGGGATACCTCAACATGCTGTCTTGTTTACGGCTCTCTTTTGGAAACCTGCCTGCTGACGGTAATTGAGCTGCCTTTCTAATTCTCTGCAAAACTTTATAAAGAAATCTGTTTGTGCTGTTGGCCCACGGAGATAGCTAGTAAACAGGGGTAGGGAGAAGGGAAGGGAGTTAATTTCACAATGTTTTCTCCTGAATGGTAACAATTGAATTAACTTTTGATATGAAAATGAACAAAGCAGTATGTTTATAGCTATATGGCTCCTGATGACAATGCTATCAAAACAGTTTTCCTTTTTTCCTTCTCCTACGGATGTTTTGATGCACCTGGTGTGAGCTGCTCTGAATCCAGGCTTGTTTCAGCATGAGCTGGAATTATGTTACTGGGGGGAAAACACAAGTAAGATATTTGTGCTGATATACAAAAAGCCTCATTTGTAGACTTGTTCCAAGTTCCATCCTTGTTTCTTTCTATTGTTTGGCTTCTCTTTCTTACTTCTGAGATTTCTGCTGCTATTTCAAGATTTTCTGCAATGTGGACTCTGTCTTTGATCTTGTTTTGTTTGTTCTCAGTGTTTTTGCAATCCAAGCAGAAGTAAATGGTATTTGGAAAACAGCAAATTTGAACCTTTTGGTGATTGCTTGTTTCTGCTAGGAATTCAGAACATAACTTTTTCATTTATTTTATTTGGGATACTGCTGATTCTTCTATAATCTATGAGACAGAACTAGTCTATGTTTTTTTTTTTTAAAGTTTTTTATCTGTGAAAAAAGCTGCAATATCTATAGATAGTCAAGTAGTTTCAGCTGGCAGTGTCATTCAATGATTATCATTGTTGGGCTCTTAATTCTGGGAGTCCAAAATTAGACCACTAATTCCAGACTTGCACCTTTCAATAATTGTTTGGGGGGGATGTTGTCACAACATTGAAGACTTTTATTTCAGCTGTATAGCAGAGATTTTACTTTTTCTAACAGTGCTGTTAGAAATTCAGTTCCTAAATACAAATGTAGAATCTTATCAGTAGCCATCTATTTTCTAATGTCTTGGACAGAATTATGTATCTCTGAATGTGTTTGCTAGTTATTTCCTTTGGGCTAAGGAGACTTTGGTGGCTTCTGATCCCAATATTTCCCTTTCTGTAAAGGTTGGCAGTAATCCATAATTCCCTTTGAATTAGGCCTGGGGAGATGTAGTTTTGTTACTGTTCAGTGACTGTGCATGCTGTGACACTCTCCTTCTCTGCAAGTTTGAAGTAGCCTGGTACATCAGTAAAGCTATGGCTCTACTCATATAAAGTCCTAACAACATATGATGTGTTTATATATTTTAGCTATAAGTGGCTATTTGGTATATCTTGCATATGCTGTTGCAATGTACAATGTTCCATATCATGGGCATGTTCCTGTAATAATGCCCATGTTCCAGAGAAAGCTGTAATGAAACTGTCCTATGTTTATAAACCATGTTCTCTACATCTTTCTGTAAAGGACTAAGCCTTTCAGTCATCTCCCCAGCCCCAATGAGAAAGCTTGGAAACATTTGCATTTTTTCATTTTTTTGTTTGTTTTTGTGAGTTTAATGGTTGCTGGTTTTGTTTTGTTTTTTTTCCAGTTGTGCTTATTTTATTTGTGAAAAGCTTTGGTCTCTTTTTTTTTTTTCCCCTGGAAATTTCAATGATAAGAACTGTTTGTAATAGTTTATCTTACAACAGGCTGAAGGAAGAGGGTAGCAGTATTCCCTTATTCTTTTAAGGAGCCATCAGTGTGCCATGCGTGACATGAAAAGGTAAAAATGGCTCAGAGTGAAATGAGGTTTCAAATTATTTATCATTTCCCCTTCAACCACTTCATCTTTTGTCTTATGTTTGTTAAAATCTACTAAAAATCAGTGTTGGAAGGTGGTACTAGATGATATTTTCCATAGATAGACATCACTTTTAAAATTAAATTGTGAGACTTTTCAGTGAAGCAAACAGATATAATACTAATAAGGGTTATGACTGAAGGTATTAAAAATCTTTGTAGGTCACTTATAATAGATCATTCAACAACAAAGAAAATCATATTTCTGGAAACTGCTTCTTTTGCTGTCTTGCTGAGATACTGAACTGAACTATGATTTCCTTTTTTTTTTTCAGAAGAAAAATTTTCATGGTGTAAAGGTAGAACTTCACCTTCACAGGACCTAAGCTAGCTTCCCAGGCTAGCTGTCACAAAAGATTGAAGTTTGTTTGCAATTAATTTAGGAAAACAAGTTGACTGTTCTGTGCTCAGTACTGACAATGCTAGCAGAAACTTCATGTTGTCAAAATGGATAGAAATAATGTAATCACAGAGCTGGGGCTGGCAATGGCTGCTGGGCTTTGCAGAGCCATGGTGGGTATAGTGCTCTGTAATAGGCTCAGCTGCTCCTTATATCCTTGAAAGCAACAGCTTGTTGGCATCATCTCCAAGTTCTGTCAAGCAAAATGTGCAGCTCCTTATGCATATTGTCTATAACTATTGTACCTTTCTGTGGACAAATTGCATATAATATCATAAATTGGTTTAAAGAAAATTGGCAAAGATCTACTCCTTAATTGTCTCAGGCTGACATCTTCAGTAACTGAAACTTGACAGTCACAGGAAGAAAAGTCAGGCAAGGTGAGTGTCTTACTTAAGGTGTGATCCTGGGTGGCTTGGAGGTCTCTAAATAATAATCTATGTGGGTCTTTAGGGTTTGTAAGGAAGCTGGTGGAGTGAGAGACCGGGACTTGAGATTACTTTTGCAGAGGAGGGAAAACACCATGTGAGATGGAGTAGATTTTAATTGATGATTAACTCAATTGAGATTGTAATTTGTTCCAGCTGCAGGGAACATACCTTGCTGTCTCTGTCTCTGGTTAATTTCAAGAGCACTCCAGGCCTTTAACGTCAACAGTGAAATCTCAGCACTTGGTAAAGCAAGTCCTCAGCCATAGACTAGGTTTTTCTCTTTTGTCTGGTTTTCCACAGAGCTAGTGAACACGTCAATATACAGTGGTAACACACTGCTTCAGAGCAGTGTCAAATTAGCCTCTGTTTCTTGAATGAAAATGCTATTCATATGCAGACAAAACTATTGTAAAATCAGATCTTAATTATTTTCTCTTGATGGTTTCCTGACATCCTGTCCCTTTTTTCTGTCCTTCAAAAACCTTAAGGTTATAAAAATGGTGTAAACTTTCCTCCCATGTGTGTCTGGATTACTAAATTACTATGGTTTAGGACCTTTCTTAAAACTGTAATATTCCTTTGTATTGGGAAATCTGGTCAAGATCAAAGCTGCATAAAACAAGCTGTTGAGAAAAGATGCAGTAAGATCATGTCCTGCTGTCCTTCTGTCACATGTGTTCTCCAGCGGTGTATGGAAATGATTTTTGTAATAAGTTCCAGTGCAGGAACTGGATTATCTGTTTGATGAGTGAATGCTTTTTAGATTGTAGCAGATAATTTGCTGACTTAGGCTGCCTTTCTGGTCGAAGTGTTTATATTGGGAAACTTCTGAATATGGAGATAAATGATATCTCATTGCTAGTTCCTCTTTTGTGGCTGGAAAGACAGAGAAAGGATTATAGTGTACTCCTATGCTGGCATGCATGTCTTGATTCAGACCTGTAACCTACAGGAGAACAGCACTGTAGTTTGCCAGAAATCATGAGATATCCAAACAGGAGCAATTCACTTGGTTCCGGCAGAGCTGGCTTTGAAACCAAATTTTTATCCATCAGGTTTTATCTAAAACAGTGACAATTCTAAACTGAGACAAGAAGCTATCCCCCTTCTCTGGAACATGCTATTAAAATACCACAATGTTTTGCTTAGGAAACGGGTGTGCTCCCCAGGATTCCTCCCTGCTGCTGTGTGAAGCTGGCAGGGTTTGACTGTTTGCTGCTGCTAATCAGTGGAGTTTAGTAGTGAAACTAAAAGGATTGTAGCAATTTTATTCAGCAGCTTCATGGGCTCCCTGGAATCCGTGGTGACTTGGAGGCTGTCCTGGGAGTCACAGGCTGGAGTTAGGCAGGTGGCAGCTCAGGTGGCTCTGAAACCTGCAAATCTTAGCATCCAGCTCCTGATTGCTGAGGAGACAGGTAAATAAACAGCTACAAAACAGCAGGTTTCCAGCCTGCCTCTGTGTTCTGTCAAAAGAAAGTGTTTTTGTGAATGGTTAACATTTGACAAATTGCAATTTTATGATGGAATAAAGATCAGATAGAACAAAATCTAGATATAACAAATTTTCTTTCTTGCATCTCACTTGGGAACAATCTGCTCTTTGGATGGACAGGCATGACCTAGAAGTTTGTTTCTGCCTAGAAGCAGTCCGTAGCAACATGATTTTAACTTATTAGTCCTTATTAGTTTGAGTTTTATGCTCTATTGAGCTCAGACTTGCAGCTCCTCACTGTCTTGGAGAGAAGACAAATCTCGTTGTGGCTGACTGGGAGATCTTAGGTGTAGTCAGTGGAGGTATGTCCTCCCCCCTGTGGTTAAACTGTGACACCCAGTGCCTGTACAGCTGTGTGCCTCAGTGTGGTCAGGTGCACATGCTTGTGACTTTTGCGTCAGTAGGGATAGGTGTAATCATAACTGCTGCTTCCACAGGCTAAAAATGCGATTTTAATCTTTTAATCTTGGTTCTTTAAAAGGTGGATATTTCAATGTACATGCTGTGGTTCATATGCCTCTTTAAAACATTGATAATCTATATCCTCAAATTCTAGTTCAACACTTTGTGTGTGAGTAATTGTTATTTAATATAAGATTGTTAATTGTTATTTAAGATTTTTTTTGTTTTGTCAATTTTTTTTCTCTCCTCTATGACCTGACAGAGTTAAGGTGGCAATTTTGCACAAGATAGATCTGGCAGTATGTGAAGTACCTTTTGGAGGAAAGGGAAGGAGGGAGAGGGAAAGGAATGGAGGGAAGAAGAAACCTGTCATTAATCAGGCTTAGGAATTTTTTGTTTTATCACTTAAACTAAGAAATCCAGGCAGTGGTAGTCCTTAGGAAATGACTCCTCCTGCTCAAAGAGATGTTG